ACATTGGAACCTGTTGAAATTTATAACGCAATTAAATAATAGCATCAAAGTAGGCAAACATATTTTGTTATTCGTGTACACACCGGTGTTCTGTTTTATTTTATATCCGCAGTAAAATAATGTTATACTGCTTTTTCATGGGTTACGTTTCAATCAATAATAGTAAAGGCCCTTTTATTTTATTTATTTAAGCATTCATTAAGTTATAACTGTCCGAGTTACTCTTTAGATCCGTATAATACGATCCTCGAATGCTGCATACATATTTATGCTTGGCTATTTGTTTATATCCCTTTATACACGTCGAAACGAAATGTAGGAAAAAGACGATACCTACAGCATCCTTCGGAATTGATTCTAACATTGCGTTGTGAGAATGGGTATGGAGCCATTTTCAACTTCTTTTCCCAAGATATCATGGATAAATACGCTAGTCTGAACGACATTTCAGAGCTTAAGATCAAAAAATTACCTATAAACCTATCACTCCTTATATGCAGCAAATGATGGAAATGGATGAAATGCTAGAGATAATCAGATGGGATCTTAAGAGAAGGCAACCAATTACGTGGAATTTAGAATTGTTAGATCTAGGCTTCTCAGCTCCCGAGACCTGGCAACGCTTCATCACTCTGGGAAGTCCTATTTGGTTAACCGAGTCAGGGACGTGCGTGTTTTCCCAAAGGGGCGTCTGGTAGTGAGTTTTCCCTTAGCGACCTAAGCGTGACGCGCATCGTCGGTGGTAATTATTGGATTAGATACCTGAAGGGGAGAAAAGACGTCGCCTAAAATATGCGAGCCAAGTCGATATCCTAACCAAGTTAAGTTTTATGTAGTTGTTATACTAACTTTCTACAGTTTTGTGACGAACATTTCTGCAGAATATATATGTAGCTTCTCGCTTAATAGGGTGGCGCCCATCGTGAAGAAGAGGGGTGGGTTAAGTTAGCACCCCTAAATCGGCAGACCAATTTGTTAGTTCGCCAAAATATTGTGCTCATTTTGTGCTAATTTGCGCGCCAATTTCCAAATGTGCGCTTCTCGTTTATGAGAAATTCAAAATCTTCCTGTGGGTGCCCAACTGGAACACCATCATTCTCATATCCCACTTAACGTAGCACTCCTTACAATCGAATTGATTTGAAACTTGTCATCTTTTTGTGCGCCTTCCGTTCAAGTGGGAGTCCACCTTAATGATACACACCATCATGCTCGTATCGACATAACACAAAAGTTTTGTGCTTGTTTTGTGCTGATTTGTGCGGCTTTCCTTTCGGAGTAATTCGAAATTTCTAAAGGGGTTGCCAACTTAATGTAGCACCCCTTACAATCGGATCGACTTGTAACCTATGTCATCATTTTGTGCCTAGTTTGTGCGCCAATTCCCAAGTTTTGTGCGCCTTTCGTTTCGTGGAAAAATTTTCCTATTGTGGGTGCAAGTTAGTGCTAAACACCAACTTCTGTCTGTGTTGTCTGGAGGTTACAGAAAACTTTTCCCTGCAATGTCACAACTCATAATAATCACCTCAGAGCAGGAATATACACTTGCCCAGTGCCCTGAGATAACGTCACCTTTTATAGTGTAGGTATAAATTGAATCATCATGATAAAGTGGAGTAAGTGTATTTGCTTATGGCGAGAAGGTAAAAATGCTGTAACTTTTCATCGGCCTCTAATGAATGATCTCGCCAAGAGAAATTGCTTTTGCCTAGACTTTTCCCGCTCTTTTTTTTCCACAATATGTTTGGTATTAAAAATGGGTACATTTCATAAGAGTATGATCTAGAATGCTTTATATTTAATATCTGCACGGAACTGCACACAGCTAACAACGTGATAAATAAAACAATCGCCGGTGGCTTAGGCAGATTAATTTTTTCTACTGCCATGCAAATTTACAATGTTATCAAAAATTAGTTTTATTGTAACATAATTCATTTCATTTAATTTTGAATCTTAATTGCAACTTTGCATTTACAAACGCAAGAAAAGTTTTATTCCAATGATAATAAACGTCTATTGCTCTGTGAAGTTCCATCTGATAATATTATTGCAGTGAGTTTCCAAGTAAAACTTTTCTGTACTAAAGTTGCAGAAGAACAAAACTTTCATTTCCAACTTTGACGTTAAGTAGATAAAGGGTAAATTCTTTAATTCAATTTTTTACGTTTGTACAAATTCTTTTTTCTCGTACGATGTTCAGTATGGTTTTCCACTTTATAAAACTTTTAATGTGCAGTTCAGCGTTACCTAATTGCTACTTTCTGATTTTGGCGCTTTTGTAATTAGATTTTTAATACAAAATTTGTAATTAGTTGGTGACTTTTTCTTGCAATATTCGAAACAACATTTATTTAACTGGCACGAATTTATTATTCTCTAATACATTAACGCTTCTTCTCTGTTGAGATTTACAAATTAACAGTAACTTGTTTGAGAAAAACCTTAGGTATTTATGTAAAATATCTCAAAACAGTGAATGCTAAAAAAAGTTTTCAAATCAGTATTATTTATAACCATCCGTAATTAAAATATATTTTGAGAAGTATTTATAAGCTTCCATAACATTAATTACATTTTAATGCTATCCTTCTAAAATTTGTAAGTCAGAAAATTATGCAATTTCTTTTCGCTTGGCGTATAGCAAGTTACTTCTGAAGTTTTGAGCAAAAGTAAAAGAGTCATTTCTGCAATGAACTTATTAAACAGAATTTCAGAACTAACATGTAAATCTTAAATTGAAGTCTAACAAACTTTTGTGTAACTTGTTTATATGCTTATGGAGCTAACTGATTTTAACGAGGACTAACCGTAGTGAGAAGCACCGACTGTTAAATTGGAAATGGGAATATTATACTATAGATTAAGCAGTATTTCGGTATTGGCTTTAAATAGAAGTCCCATAAAAACAAACTAAAGTTCACACGTTAAAAAGGTGGTGAGGCTGATACGATTATAGTACTTTTCGTAATGAAAATTTTAGTACGTCAACGGAGTAAAAGTTTTTTTTTTGCTGGCTAGAATATATTATCTTGCCCATCCATCAAAGTCTAACACACATTCTGCTTTGTAAAGTACGTGACAACAGTCTAAAAGCAAACGCCGCCGTACGGAAAAGTGTTTTATAAAGATCCAATAGATATTGCACTTGTTGCACATCCTAAACGAAAAGCCAATGATAAATGCCGACAGTTGGAAAACATACAGTTTACCTGTACAATTATCTATAATTTGTAAATACTGTTAGTCACGTCATCACGTGAGCCATTATTTAGTAAAACTAACGAATACCCACAACGCCCACGCGATATTTTGATAGTCCATATCACCGACTAAGGAAACTACGCCGACGGACACAACGCCGACAGTGCCCACTTCGCCGACGGATACTACGCCGTCCGTGCCCACATCGCCAACACGTGTGCAAGGGGCACTAGCCGAACGTGACCACAACGCCGACTGTTCGAAAAACCAGGCCCCTCATACTCTGTCCAGTGTGAGTTTGCATTTTAAAAAGTTTAAAAAAAGTCCTAAACCTACAAATAACCTAATATCCAAAGCTGCTTTGATTCACGCTCTGTCCAGTTTCATTAAGAATTTTCGTATGAGTCTGTATATTCTAAACCTACAATAACCTAACGTCAAAAGCTGCGTGGTGTTGCACACCGTCCGAACTGTTGTATGAGTCGACGTTGTGGTCACGAAAGGCTTAGTCTCCCTTGTTCACTTGTCGGCGATGTGGGCACGGTCGGCGTAGTGTCCCTAGTCGGCGATATGGACCATCAAAAAATCGTGTCGGCGTTGTGGGCATTCGGCGAAGTGTCCCGGCCCCTAAACTAACTTACAATGTTTGTAACCAAATAGGTACAGCCATAAGCTACATTCATATATGCTGCGATATCCATATCTGTACACGAATGTTGAATTTTGCATCCGCATGTAATTTCCTTGTCACAAATGTAAATCCATACAAAATATAATGAAATACAACAGTAAAACTCCCACTCTCAGGATAAATGAACATACAGTGCGTTTATCTTACATTGGAACATTCGATTTTGCATGCAATGGTGTTTCCCTATGTTGTATTTAAAAAAAAACGCATCACGGATAATGTGCGAGTCACAACTGAACCAGACTTTACTTATTTTTATGTTATGTACGTTGAAATCTGTTGAAATAGAAGGTATTGCTTCATCAGGATACTACACTGCAAGTAAATCGCGGGCTTGCCTTGCACTGTTGTGACCTTTGTATAAATTTATAATTTCATCTTTTCATCACTTTAGCAGCATTTTTGACATTTATCTGCAAGGCGGTAGATTTGAAGGTGAAAGTTGTATATTGCACCTACTACCCATTTGAACTACTCCTATTAGGTTGACGTGTTTTTTCAGATGGGACATGGAGAAAAAGCATTGCATGCAAAATCGTTTAAGATAAACGCACTGTATACATCGGGCTATGATAACATGAGGATCAAGTTTGCAACACCAGCCGAAGATTCCACGAAATCCACAGATTTAGGTACCTACGTTGGAACTGTTGGGTCCATACAATGATATTTGTGGCATATTTTTTAGAAATATCGTATATCGTAATTCTTTATTAACGGCCAAGCCAATATTATAACATACTTCTAGCCAAAAACCAGTTTATTAAATCAACAGTGAATTCCCAGTACTTTTGAAGGCGACTAGTAGCAGTCCGAAGAATTCGATATTCAAATGTAAGCTGTTGATCTCGTCAACCATGCGGTTTAAAGGGCTATTTCGGAAGTATACCGTTCGACATTGTCGTGCATGTAGAAGTTGAGCCGAGCGAACAAATCGTTGCGGTACATTTAAATTAATAATGGATAAAATATCCGGACAGTTCAGGTGACCATTAAGTAGTTTGTGTTACGTACAATAGATGGCAACACTGCAGACCATCGGCTACATTCATTCGAGAGATCGGCGTTATGTACAATTGACGTTACGTTATGCTGTATACGTAGTACAATAAAAATTAGAAAATCTACAGTCCACTTATTATACATAAAAATGGTCCAGTCGATCCGGATGGTATAAATCAGGATTAATTAGAATTCGATGGATGAAGTGTATTTTCATCTTGGCCGACTACACTGCTATCACCTGCTATCACCTACAACGTGCAGTGCAGCACATATGCACATCGAAATAGAACTGTATGTACCTACCTACCGTTTAGACTAAACTTTAAAATTGCAATTAATTATGCAAATAGCATAAAGTATTTTGCTAATTTGTTAATTTAGTTAATAGAAGTGGCGGCTATATCCGCTAACCTTCAAAGTTGGTGTTAACCATCTGTCATTTTAAACTTGGTTCCTCATAATTGTGTTGTGAACTTATTCGAATCATTAATGAATATCAATAATTATTCATTATCATAGAATCGACCGCATGCAACAATTTGCTAGCGTTCACATTGAATATGTTGTAGAATCTATAATTTTACAAAAAAGTTACGTTAATCAATCGATGCAATGGCTGAGTTGAAGAGGTTCAAGGCGAAACGGGCTTACTGCAAGGCGAGTGTTACACGCATTTCAAATTTTCTTAATCTGCACAAAGACGCTACTCTCACCGACACATTAATAAACGAGTTGGAGGTACGCAAGGGAATGTTATCGAACTGCTTTAAGGAGTATAATAATTGCCAAGTCGAAATTTCATTTTTGGAGGAAGGGGAACCGGAGATTGTTGACGACTTCGAAAATAAGTACATCAAATTGATGGCTGAAATCGACACAAAAATAAAGGCGTTCCATTGTCGTCTAGCACCAATTGACAGTTCGCACAGTGCTTCTCAACCATTGGCATCAAACCATGTTACAGTACCGGACATCCTAAAACCCAACACCAAACTTCCATCAGTTCAAATTCCGTGCTTTGATGGAAAGGAACTAAGCAAGTATAAACCCTTTAATGATTTGTTTGTGGCCGTGATTGGTAATAACAGTACCTTAACTGATGTTGAAAAACTGTTTTATTTACGTAGTTATTTAAAAGGTGAAGCCTTGTCCTTAATTGTTAATTTACCTATTGTTCATGAATCATATAAGGAAGCTATATCCATTTTAGATAGTAGATACAAAAATGAGTTTATCATTACCAGTTCTCACATTTATGCTATGTTAGATGTACCTGACATAATCAAAGGGACTGCGAGTAACATTCGTGAATTTGTTGCCAAGATTAAGCAAGAAGTAAGCGCATTAAAAAACTTAGGTCAACCAGTTCACGAGTGGAATATGTTATTGCTTTGTTTATTGTCCAGAAAACTCGATACATATACTAATAGAGCCTTTCAATTTGACAGGAACAATGCCAATGCATTGCCCACACTTGAGGAATTACTGCAGTTCTTGGAGAGTAGAGCTACAGCTTTAGAATCTGTTGGTTTTCCAGAAAAAAAAATTGAGCAAATCGCTGATGTGCAATCTTGCAGTAAAACCAAAGGCAAAAAAGGGGAAAGGAATGGAATGTAATTATTGCATGGAATTGGGACACAAGGTATATAGGTGCAACAAGTTTAAAGGAATTTCTGTTATAGATCGTATCAATTTTATTGAAACCAAGGGTTTTTGTAAACTCTGTCTGAATGACCATATTGATAAATGTAATCTTAATTTAAAATGTCATGTATGTAAAGAAGGTCATAACTCTTTACTGCATCAAATAGAAGAGAGTAGTGTGGTTTCTGTTGGTCAGAATCATGTAGAAAATGTTATCCTACCTATTATTAAAGTCAAAATTAAATCAAGGAATGGCCAGGAGACTGTTGTTAGGGCACTTGTCGATACAGGATCTCAAACTTCCTTCTGTACTACCAATTTAATTAATAAATTGAAATTGAACACCTTTAATAGTGGTAAAACTATTCTCGGCATTACCAATACAATGTCGAAGGTTTCTAAGGCTGTTCACTTATTGATTGAATCATGTACAACTAATTACAAATTAAGTATCAAATGCTCAGTGGTGGAGAGGATCACAAAAAATCTGCCACAAGTTCCTATTGACATATCACAGCTTATCATGCCGAACAACATAATTCTGTCTGATAATGAGTTCAATGTGCCAAAGCCTATTGATTTATTGTTGAGTGCTGACATCTTTTTCAAAATTTTACGACAAGATCGTCTCCAGATTGGTAACTTGGTGTTGCAAGATACAGTATTTGGTTACATGGTCAGTGGTACTGTGCAACAAAATATTTGTAATTTATCCTTAGAATATTGTCATTTTAATTTAGAAGAGTTGGTATCCAAATTTTGGGACACTGAAAAGGTCTCTGAAATTTATCCTGAATTCACAACTGAACAAGAAGCATGCGAATCATGCTTTCAAAAGTCTGTTGTGAGAGTGGGTAATAGGTTTCAAGTGTCTTTACCATTGAAACAAGAATTAAATCCCGATACATTGGGAAATTCATATAAGATTGCCTTGAAACGATTTATAAATTTAGAAAAAAGGTTTTCCATTAATCCTACCTTATTTGAAAGTTATTCAAGGTTTATCAATGAATATATTGAGCTTGGTCACGCAAAAATGGTTGAACTTCAAAATGATGAAAAAATTGCTCATTTTCTAGCTCATCACCCAGTTATAAGGGATGATAAGAAAACTACCAAATTAAGAGTAGTTTTTGATGGAAGCATGAAAACAAATAAGCAGGTATCATTGAATGATTTTATGTACAACGGAGCGGTAGTTCAAAATGAGCTATTTGATATTTTGTTATTATTTCGGACATTCAAATTTGTGATTCTAAGTGACATAAAGCAGATGTACAGACAAATATTAATTTCTCCCGAGCACAAACCTCTTCAAAATATTTTATGGAGAAGCGATCCTAAATCATCAATTACATGTCTACAGCTACAAACAGTTACATACGGGCTAAAAAGTTCGCCCTTTCTTGCAACTCGTTGCCTAGTGGAGTTGTGTAACCTGGAGGGTAAAAAGTTCCCTTTGGCGGCCAGGGCAGTGTTACATAACACGTATGTAGATGATATTTTAGCTGGTGGCGACACTGTTGAAGAAGTCATACAATTACGAGATGAACTCATACAATTATTAAGTAACGGATCATTTGAATTACATAAATGGTGTTCTAATAACCCTTCTATTTTAAATGGTATCCCAATTGAATTACAACATTTTGATGAACGTGAGATGAATCATGATTTGATAGTAAAAACATTAGGGTTGTCATTTGATGTTAAATTAGACATGTTTAAAATATCAAGTCCCAAGGAAAGCATCACTAAGGCTAACACTAAACGTAAAATTTTGAGCTTTTTATGTAAATTTTATGATCCTCTAGGATTGGTAGGCCCACTTTTTGTATCTGCAAAAATTATAATGCAAAGGTTGTGGTTAAAGAAAATAGACTGGGATGACATTTTAAGTGATGAGTTACTTGAAACATGGGAGGAGTTCGTAGAGAATCTAAGAAAAATGGAACCAATTAATATTCCAAGATACTTGCAATTGAATTCCCATGCTACTAGTGAGCTTGTAGGTTTTTGCGACGCTTCCATGTTTGCATACGGTGCAGTTGTGTATATAAGAACTGTAAATGAAACTGTTACGTCAACTTTATTGTGTTCTAAATCGCGCATAGCTCCGTTGAATAAAAAACTAACAATACCCAGGTTAGAGTTAAACAGTGCGCTGTTATTAGCAAATGTAATTCATAAAGTATATAGTGTATTAAAGAAAAGGATAAACAAGGTGTATTTGTACTCTGACTCTAACATAGTATTAGCTTGGATAAAAACAAACTCTGTTAAATTAAATCCATGTGGCAAACAGAATAATAAAGATTCAAGGCTTAACGAAAGGTATGCAATGGTCGTATATTAATACAAAGGACAATCCAGCGGATTGTTTGTCTAGAGGTATTAATCCAAATGAAATTTCAAAAAACAAAATCTGGTGGTATGGGCCGAGTTATTTCTTAAATGTCAACTATAAGCATCCGCTGTCTGAGGTAAAACTGGCAGAGCCATTGCCAGAGCAGAAAATAGCCTGCACTCAAATTATTTTGGAATCTAGTACATTATTTGCCAAATATTCTTCAATAAGTAAGTTAGAAAGAATCATAGCCTGGATATTAAGGTTTAAGCATAATGCAAGTAGGCCAAAGTATAAATTAGTTGGTAATTTAAAGCCGTTTGAAGTTTATAATGCCTTAGAAAAAATCTTGATCGTTGAACAGCAATTTCACTTTCACGAAGAATTCAAACTAATTCAAAATGGTCAGCAAGTAAAGACGCAATTAGCATCATTGCATCCTTTTATAGACAGGAGAGGAATTCTTCGTGTAGGTGGCAGGTTGCAGAATGCGCAGATTGAGTATGACCAAAAGCACCCTATAATACTTCCAAAAAAAAGCATCATAACTGATTTAATTATTATAAGAGAGCATAAAAAATTGCTACATGCAGGTCAAAAACAGATTTTAAGTAGCTTAAATTTAAAATATTGGTTAATTAATGGAAATAGGGAGATAAAAAAGATTATTCATAAGTGTGTAATATGTTTCCGATTAAAAGCTCAATGTGCACAACAATTAATGGGATCTTTACCTGAACCAAGAGTAACTTACAATAGACCATTTCATAATGTAGGTGTTGATTTTTGTGGTCCATTTCAATTAAAACAATCTACTATTCGAAGGTCTGTAATCACAAAATCATACATTGCATTGTTTGTGTGTTTCTCTATAAAGGCGATTCACATGGAACTATTGTCTGATTTAACTGCTGATAATTTTCTATCGGTTCTTAAAAGATTTATATCACGTCGAGGCAAACCAGCAAAAATCTATTGTGATAATGGTGGCACATTCAAGGGTGCTAATAGAAAGCTGAGTGAATTGCGAAATATGTGTAAAAAAGAAAGTGCGAACAAGGTAGAGAATTATAGCCTAGACGAAGGTATAGAATTCATTTTTACCCCAGCTTATTCGCCCGTATTTGGCGGCCTTTGGGAGGCGGGAGTTAAAAGTGCAAAGGCACATCTAAAAAGAGTTGTAGGGAATAACGTTTTAACATATGAACAGTTTAATACTATAATCATTCAAATAGAAGGCATCTTGAATTCGAGACCTCTCACACCAATGAGCAACGATTGTACTAGCTTGGAATATTTATCTCCTGGTCATTTTTTGATAGGAAGCACGTTTACTAGTTTTCCGGAATCTGATTGTACATCGATTCCGCAAAACAGGTTGAAAATGTGGCGTTTGTGCACGCAAATACAACAACAGTTCTGGAAAAAATGGCATGTAGATTATCTAGTACAGTTGCAAGCACGACCAAAGTGGAAGGCACCTACTCCTAATCTACAAGTAGGCATGCTGGTTCTAATTAAAGATTTAAATTTACCTCCTTTAAAATGGCCATTGGGTAGAATTACACGAACTTTACCTGGAAATGATAACAAGGTACGAGTAGTTGAAGTAAAAACTCACAAAGGCACCTATATTCGTTCTGTCACAAAACTTGCTATCCTTCCAATTGATTTGTAATATAATAAATTGACATTCAAGATCTACACTAATATAAGTAACACATTTTAGACAAGGAAATAATCAAGTAGCTCTGCTATCCTAAACTGTCAAGTGAAATTCCGTATACTTTGTTGACGACGTATCTTTACATTTTTGATTATGTAAATTCCAATAATTAATTTAATGTATTGATAAGCAAAAATAAGTAATTTTAAGATGGACGTTGTAAATTTAATTTATGTTGCCTTGTAACTCCGTTTGTGACTAATTGTTGTATCCTTTGTGTTAATTATTTGTATTGTTTTATGGATATAAAACAAAAAGGGGGAGTATGTTACGTACAATAGATGGCAACACTGCAGACCATCGGCTACATTCATTCGAGAGATCGGCGTTATGTACAATTGACGTTACGTTATGCTGTTATACGTAGTACAATAAAAATTAGAAAATCTACAGTCCACTTATTATACAGTTTGAACATGCGGTAAGTAAACTTCTCCTCTGTTTAATACCCTAGCCACACACTCCTCAAGTAGCATGGGAAGTAGCGTGACGAGGAGGCAGACACGTAGTGTGGCAACATCACTCGCATTGCTACACGTCATGCTCCTCGTTCTGCCAACCGCTCCATGTTTTGGGCGCGAGTCAAAGGATCGGCAGTACGAGCGCGAGTGCCCGGCCACATAATCGCGCGAAGGGCTGGTAGAAGTGCGTCATTCTTATTTTTTTATTGACGAGTAGATGTCATCCAACACCTCCGTTAGCGAAGACGACGAGAGCGTATCTCTTTTTAGGAAAATGATGTAATTAGCTATTATACTAAAAATGCATAACCAACAGTTTCGACATCCATCGTGTTGCAAAGGCGAATGCCAAATGCGGAGTGAGGCGATTAATTGCACGAGTAAAGCAGTGTGTGGACAAAGAGCGCAACATTGCGGCAGCGCGTAGAGCAGGGCGATGGGCAGTGCGAGGAGCATAGTGTGGCTGAGGCAGGGTCAGTATTCCCAAGTAAAGTCGGACATTTTCAGTGCGATCCAAAATGTCTCCATTCAGAAGTACTTTATAAGGCGAAGAAAATTGTTCTGTATTTTTTCTAACCGATTAATATAAGTTGAATAGTATGGTGACCAGATCGTGCAGCAATAGTCCACACGCGACCTAAGTAGAGGTACCTATAAAGTCTTCAGTGCCGTTATTTTGAGGAAATCCTTGCTAGCCTTCGAGATAGCACGATCGTAGTGATTCTAGTGATAACCGTGCATCTCTCTTTTTATATGTAAAACTTGAAAAAGTAATGATTTTCAAACATGAACTAGGATAATGCTATATGTAAGTAAATTTCTTTGTTTTGCTGGCTTTCTTACTTGCTTTTTCTTCTTCTTTGTAAAAATTTGAAATGTGTAATTTGTCATTTTTTAAGAATAGCTTAGGTTGTTTGCAATGCAGCATCTTTCACTCATCACCTTACTTACATATGACACGGTTTGGTTTTGCTTTGTACGCACTTATTTCACAGAAGGCTACAACTATGAGACAAAGTCCAAAACTCAAAGCCATGACGTTGGTCCAGAATCCAAGGCCATGGCATTGGACCAAAGTTCAAGGCCGCACCTTTGGGAAACCCAGAGCAATGACCTTGGGAAAAACCGAGCCGATGGGCATGAAAAAATTCACAATTTCGCAATCCTTACAACCATCGGAGACATTGGAAATGATAACCGTATAACCTATAAAGTCATAAATAACCCTTCACACGGAACAATCTTGTTCCACTCGCTCGTAAGCTCGCTCGTGTCGCAAACGGAAACTGAATACTAAGCGGCGTAACATGCTTGTAATACTATCACGGGCGATGTGCGAGAATTTTCAATTCGAATTAACAAAACCCCTGCGGACTGTTAAATAAGTAGTACCGTATCGACAGTATCCGCGACTTTTCCTGAATCTATCGATTGCAGTCGAGTACGGTACAAATCAACACTAGACGCGACACCACTGTCTTTTTTTCTACTCGGCAAACCTGGTAAATTCATACCCATACAAACCATAAGCATTTCCAATGCTAAAATCTTAGGCTCTTGATCTTGGAAAATCACGGGAACAATGACCTTTAGAAACCCCAGTTATGACCTTGGGAAATCCCGGGGCATGACTTTGTGACGTAACATGACCTTCCGAATGCACCACACGGGGGGGAGGGGGCAAGGTGCTCCACCCTGAGGGAGCGGAGGGAGTAAGCTTTCACTTTTACTCATAGCCCATTCGTATTTAACCCAAACGCAAAGCCAAACTAACACTTACACAATAAACAACACTAATTAAGTAAATTGGTAAGCTTGTAAGTAATCTTTAAGAATGAAAATAGACCATAAATTTGCCAGGACGAA